ACACACACACACACACACACACACACACACACACACACACACACACACACTGACAGCTTCATAAATAGTCCATGAGGAAGGAGCGCCCCCTCCTCTCAGCAGCCGTCAAAGACCAATAATGATTTATTGATTCTTTATTTGTCACATAAAAAGAAAAACTTGCTCCTCTCGTTCTTACGCCTCCTCTTCATTGCTCCTCTTCATCGCTCCTCTTCATCGCTCCTCTTCATCACTCCTCTTCATCGCTCCTCTTCATCTCTTCTCTAACCAGAAAACGAGCCACAAACGACCAATCAACACCCACCCCCGAAACGAACACTTCCTTTTTCTCTTTATTTGATTTTCTCTGTTTGTCTCTGTGTTTTAGTTGATCTTTCATTAAATACAGGTAATGTTACCTGTGGGGGCTGGGACCCCTCCCCTCCCCCAGCCTGACTCTGAGGCACGGAGGTGGAAGCATCATGATGCTAAAAGCTTCTCTTTGTGAACACAGAGGATGGATGGAGCCGAGTATTAGAGGACCTGGATCATCCAGGAGTCCAAATGGTCCAGTCCAAGTCCAGACTCAAATAAAGACCCAGATGATGACCAAAATGAGGAACCAGATGAGGACACAGGTTAGGACCCAAATGAGGACCAAGATCAGGACACAGGTGAGGACCAAGATGAGGACCAAGATCAGGACACAGGTGAGGACCAAGATGAGGACCAAGATCAGGACACAGGTGAGGACCAAGATGAGGACCCAGAAGAGGAACCAGATTAGGACCAAGATAAGAGACAAGATGAGGAGGAACAAGATGAGGACCCAGTTGAGTAGCAAGATGAAGACCAAGATGCAGACTAAGATGAAAAACAAGATGAGGACCAAGAGTAGGACCAAGATGAGGAACCAGATGAGGACCCAGAAGATGAACCAGATGAGGACCAAGATGAGGACCCAGATGAGGAAGAAGATGAGAACCCAGATGAAGATCAAGATGAGAACCCAGATGAGGAAGAAGATGAGGACCTAGATGAAGATCAAGATGAGAACCCAGATGAGTAGCAAGATGAAGACCAAGATGCAGACTAAGATGAAAAACAAGATGAGGACCAAGAGTAGGATGAAGATGAGGAACCAGATGAGGACCAAGATGAGGACCCAGAAGATGAACCAAATGAGGCCCAAGATGAGAGACAAGATGAGGACCAAGATGAGAACCCAGATGAAGACCAAGATGAGAAAGAAGATGAGGAACAAGATGAGGACCCAGATGAGGAAGAAGATGAGAACCCAGATGAAGACCAAGATGAGGAAGAAGATGAGGACCCAGATGAAGATCAAGATGAGGACCCAGATGAGGAAGAAGATGAGGACCCAGGTGAAGATCAAGATGAGGACCCAGATGAGGAAGAAGATGAGGACCCAGGTGAAGATCAAGATGAGGAC